CAATATGTTTCTTCAAAAACACGGACGGAACTCCATCGGGTCCAGGGTTGAAGGACGATTTTAGCTGCGTTGCAGCGTTAGAAATCATCTCAACGTTGACATCTCAATTGCACTCAGCGTTTGACCATTTAGTGGGATGTTCCTGGCTGCGAGGGAAACATGGTCGTCACTTAGTCTCTCATCAGTGAACACACTGGCAAAATTGACAGAAAAAAGGCGACAAATATCGGGTGAAGTTTAAGGTTACGCTGAATACCTCGTTGAAATCGCAGAAAGCATCGACGACTGGCTCGCTGATACTCGTGATTAAGCCTCACGTAGTGATGTTTCAGAGGAAGCGTGCGATACTTCGTAAATCTTCTCAATGCTGCTCTCTTGATCGACTTCAACCTACGCAGCTCAATCGTCTGCCAGGGAGGGTGAGAGTCTTTGCGTTGAATTCTTTTCGGGACGTGTCTGTCAATGACATATGCCAAGACATGAGAAAAAGTTTGCGCAGCGGCCTCAACGTCGTCATGATCGAGAATGTTCTCCCAGTCCATGTTTGACAACACATCTACAATGCTTCGATGGTCGGCCTTTCGAAAGTCATAAGAAACCGCAGCAGGAAGACTATCGAAATCACGAACGAGATTGTCCTCAACAGTGACAATCAGAGGAGGGTGGTGCGGAACAAGCTTAACTAGTGGACAAGGTGCTGTGGAAATGAACGGAGCATTGTCCTGAGTGCTCACGAAGCAGAGGTCCAAACTACGGTTGTTCTGGTTGACTACGTAGTTAATTTGAGAAAGCGTTGCTACGCTATAGTTATCGAGAAGGCCGATAGCTCCTGCATGAAATACAGAACGTTCTGGATCTGGATAGAGGAAGCCGCTATGGGATGGTCTCCACGAAACGCCTGCTAGGTTAAAGTCCCCAAAAATGAATAGCTCATCAATTGGAGTCGCTCTTTCCATTACTGTGAAGACTGATTGACAGTGAGTCTCGATGAGTTCAAGATCACGAACTCGATCTGGTGGCATGTACAATGCGCACAAAAATAATGTGCGATCGCCCAGTTTAATGGCTGTCCAAACCTGTTCCACACTGTTCCACGATTCATTTTCGATTGCTCTCGCCTCCAATCCGGAACGGACAGCCACAAGAACGCCACCACCAGTAGATTTTCGGCTGTTGTTTGGATTCCGATCGCAACGAAAAACCTCATAATCGGATCCGAACACCTGGCTGGAAAGCGTTCGCGAATCGAGCCACGTCTCGCATAGGACAATCACATCATAGCAACGATCCGATACAGCAAGCCGGTAGTCGTCAACATCAGAATTCATTCCGCCGGCGTTTTGGAAGAAAATCACGATGTCCTGCTTGCGGCTTACAATCGAACGTCTGTTCTCCCTAGAAATCACGGAAGCATCAGGCAGCGAATGAACATTAACAATACCATGCGGATACTCGCCATAGTGACTGGGTTGGAAGACCCCCTCTCCACATCCGACTACAGGTCCGGAACGACTGTGAGCGGCGGCAGCAAATGGCTGGACTGAGACGGAGGGATCAGGGGCTTCCACGAGGCTTTCTACGGCGCGTTTCGGGCTCCGAGGTACGAGAGTTGATTCGGCGGCATTCAAGGTGCTGAAATTTGGATCGGCATCAGACATCTTATTTGCGCTATTAATTATGTACTCGCCTGTTCTAGCAAGTTGGAAGACCCCCAATCCACATCTAAAATCAGGGCCAGGACGACTATGATGAACGCTGACAGGAATTAGCACGACTGAGTTAGAGGAACCGGGGGCTTCCATAAAGCTTTCCACGATGCGTCCCGGTTGCAAAGCAGATTGGTTCATCCAGAGTTCAGAAGACATCGAGCTTACTACGTCGTTTTCAGAAGGCGAGGTTGGATCGGATGGTTGCGTTAAGTATTCACTGCTGGAAGCGGAAGGTGGCTCAGAAAAAGAAGGTTTTGGAACGTATCGATACTTGCCTGTAAGTACAGGCTGGAAGACCTCGTCACCGATTCCAAAACCGGTGCCAGGACGACTTCTGATGATTAGATCTACAAACAGCTCGACTGGTTCGGAGGGATCAGAGGCTTCCGAAGCGCTGTGTTGTTGCGTCCCAGATCCGCCCAACAGCACGTTAGTAATTGAAAAGGAAGTATCCTGGAACTGGTGTCACTGTGCTGGACCAATACGGGTGATTTTGATTTTGGAATCATCGAACTCACGGAACTGAATGCCCTCCGGCCACGAATCGCAGGAAAGGGCAACATCCCGTTTGTTTTGGTTGACGCCGACTTTGAAGGAAACGTAGTTTAACGTTGACGGATCTTTTCCTCTGGGAACCAACTTGGCAACCCGAGGTTTCTCGTCTGTTTCCAGACACAAACACTTAGAGACAAGAGATGAAATTTCATCGTTCGTAGTAGTGGGATGAAACGCCGATAAGTAAACCCACACCAGATCATCGTTCAGGTCCACGGTTCTGACCGAGTCGATAGGTGCTTTCTTACCACACAGTATGGGCTTGTCGTCAGTGCTAGATGAAGTACGGCGACGTTTCGGGGTGCCACGACCGGAATCAAAGCGGTCATTTTTAGGCCAACGTGGAGTTGAGCTGACTGGGATCTTCGATTCCACTTTGGTTGCAAGAGCAATAACAGCCGAATTCAATTTCTCGATGTCCTCTCTCAACTACTCAACCGCGTTTGGAGCCACAGAAGTCTGATTGACGTCACGGCTCACGATATTACGGAAGTGGCCGTTTGAAAAAAGCGCCGCACAGTGATCGCACATCCAGAAGACATTCTTCTCGTACAATCCAAGTTGATCGAGAAGTTCGAGATCAACTTTGGCACAAATCACGTGAAATGTGTCACCACAAAAACCGCGACAAACAATACGTTCGGAGTCCGAAATGGTTTTTTGGCACTTCTTGCAAGCCATGAGTCTTGAGATGATCCGCTGGTCCTTGTACTTTTGCGCTGTCCAGCCAGGGGCGTACGGTTTCCTTGATCTTCCTCAGGAAAGTGATGCGCCAGATCCCGCCACTGCAGTCTAGTTTCCGGGAACACCGCAGTGTCTGGGGATCCACGTAAAGACGGTTAAGGTGAGGCGTACCATGTAATGGCTTGTATCCAGGGGTGGCTCGGGACTTCGGCTTCCAGCGCTTGGATGACGCTGTGTGAGTCAGTTAACACGAAGATCGGTTGATCTGGCGGAGTGATTGCTGCGTCAGTGGAAAAGACGGAACACTCCTCCGGTAGACTTTGACTCGTTGCAGTGTTCGGTCCTGCCACTCCGAGTCCAACTCCAGCCCGCGACCGCGATCGGTCCGTAAAGTGATGAACGTGCCCGGATAAACCGACCAGAGAAGCTCTGCAACAGAACGTCTCAAAGCTACAGAGCTTAATCCGCTTATTTATTTTGACGACGTTTGATCGCCAACTCTTCTCTCCATGCCAGTGGACCCTGGCCACCGGGAGGAGGTCACGGTTGGCTGCAATGCGGAGGGCTCTGTTCCCCTCGTTGAGGAGAAAGACCCTTTCGTTCCCGGATGTCTTAGCAGCGAGGGCAGCGGCTTTCGTAGCAATGGCTGCAGCAGATCGATAGCGGAAAGGGAGGATTCCGATTTCCACACATGCGGTGTCTGCAGGCGTGGAAGGGAGAAGGCCGGATACGATGCGTACGTAGGTAGTGTATACCGGAGCGAGGATGTGGTTGAGCTTCTCGGTGGTTAAGAAGGTTATTTCGAGGTCGTAGAAAAGTCGCCTGTCGATAACAGCCCGAGCGACACGAAGGCGTATCTCACGGTTGCTGGCGCGATGCGGGCGGGAGATTGTCCTGACTATGTTGATGCGGCTGCGACAGTTTTCTTTCACCATCCTGAAGTGCTGGTTGAAGCTTAGGGTGCGATCCAGTACTACCCCCAGAATACGCACTGTTTCTTGAGCGGAATCGGTTGATCTTGGATGGGGATCGGTGGTCCTCGAATCAGATGGCCGGAGTGTCAGATATGGCACCGTACATTCTTCGGCGCGGAGAGCTGGAAACCAACCGAAAGCACCCACCTGTTGACGGTGGAGACTGCTGCTTGAGCTATGTTCCTGGTCCGCTTAGTCGTTCGTCCCGTTACGACGATGAGTATGTCGTCGGCATAAACGATTACGTGCACGTTCTTGGGCAGGTCGGCTGAATACCCCGTTCATTGCCGCCAGGAATAGCATTACCGCTATGACGGATCCCTGGGGCACTCCAGTTTCATCTGGGAACGGATCCTAGCGAGTGTTCCCGACAGTCACCTGGAAGGTACGATCAAGGAGGAAATTCCGTACAAAATGTGTGATGTGACCTTCCAGGCCCCAGCCGATGAGCTGCCTGATGACACCAGGTGTCCATGTCCTGTTGAACGCCTTTGAAATATCAAGGGAGACTAACTCCGCATGGTACCGTTGTCCTGGGCTTCCTTAAGTACTTTCCCGGGGGTTGCAAAGTAAGTAGAGGAGCCGTGTCCTTGCCGGAACGCATGCTGCCGTTCGTCAAGGAGGCCCTTTGACAGGAACATCGGGTGGAATTCGTAAGTCACGAATGCTGCTTGTGGAAGGTTTGACGCGCTGGACGTAATCGCTGTCGTAGCCACTGACAGCAGACAGGCCGGCAAAATATTTTCCTAATTCATCGAAGATGTCCTTCGGTTCTGAGATCGTGGTGCTATGAGCGTGAGTGGGAACACATCCAAGGGTTGGAAGAAAGCTACCAAGATACTCACGTAGCTTCGACGTGAAATTTGTTTTGAGTGGTTACCTCACTGTAGCAATAGACTTTCAACTTCCTCGAGGTAGACACTACGAAGGGGCGAAATCTGGATTTGAACCCAACAGGTCATCGCAGGACCTAAACAAGGCGAAAGATGGCTGCATCATTGGCAAACCACATCCCCCCCCAAGGATTTCGGATGAATGATCACACATTCGCCCTAACATTTCAGACATACTTTTAATTATTAGAATCCGTCCTTTCGGCAAATAATACACATGGACTTATTTTCGATGCGGGACAATTCAAGCAAACAATCACAAATTAGTAGTGGGAGGGGATTAGGTGCTGTTAGGTTATGTACAGAAATCGAAGAATCTAATAGGACAAAATGCAATTTTTACAAAGAATACACACGACTAACCTGCTAACCGTGACCTGCGACGAACGCCAAGGTCTGCGTCCTGATTTCTGTCTGAACTCAACAAATAAAGATAAACTTCCACTATCTAATGACTTGGCCATTTGCGTTGCCCTTCGTTTCATCATCCGCCACCGAACACGCCATTTCAACATTCATCCCTACAATTTTAACACGGGCACTCAGCTACAACCGATCTCCTTTTGATTTGACAGATAAGATCGAACAGAAAACTTTCGTTTCATGGGTTAGAGAGGGCACACGAGGATCGGGGCGAGTCCAAACCGATCCAAAAGGGGTGGGGGGTTTATATTTTCTATGCATCGGGGGGTGAAGGATTTTTTGCCAAAGGGAAAAAGTGCTTCACCCGAACGTCGTTCGGGTTCGGGGGGTCGTCGTCTGTGTCGGTCAATCGTTCGCTATGAATAATTAGCTTGTACCCTGCGCTTGTTTGCTGTTCCGATTCGTTTGTTACCATACTTAGACATACATAATAGTCGCTACGACCAAACATTTAACTACGGACATAATTATAGAGCTAGAAAACCTTACGACTTAGGCTGTGGTAGGAATCATCTTGGTGGAATCAAGCTTGTTTGCAAGAGGAGCATGGGATTTAGGAGCCCGCCTTCTTACCCAGTATCCAGTTGATCAGTACGGATGAGGCGCTCTGCGGTTCCTGGGGTGACGATTCGGTTTGAGCTGTTTGGCAAATTTAAAAAAAAAACAAATTAGGTCTTACAGGTACTGCTAGACTGTAATCATTGCAAAACTCACAGATATTCGTTCCGGCAATCTTGGCCGCCGCCTCCAGTGGCATGTAGGCCAGATCCCGCTGTATCAGTGTCATCTGCCGGTGGCGCTCTCCCCGTTCCTCCTGCACCCGCTTGTCCCGGCCGTGGTCAATCGCGTGCAACTCCGACAGTTTGTTATTCAAGTCCGACACGTCGCTCCCGGCGGTGGCCGCCGCCATCGCACTGATACCGGACTCCTGCACGATCTGCTGCAGTGATTTCTCCGGCGTCGTCGTTTTCGATACATCACTAGCCGAATCGCCGGATGGTTCTGATGGGGACAGAAAGGGTCATTAGGCTTATAATCCAGATAAATGCAGCTGAAAGAAAAATCTACAAACCTCCGGGCGCCGCTGTCAGCTTTCGCTTGAACTCTTCGTGCTGCCGCAACGCATTTGACAGCCTCAACTGTAACGAATCCCGTTCCGTCAACAGGTTCCGCAGCTCCAGTTCCAGCTCCTCGCAGCGCATGTCCCGCTGGTAGATCATGTACAGTGCCAGCTCCAACTCCGACCGCGGGACCTTATCTCCGTCAACCATCGGTGGTTGAGATCTTGGCTCACTGGTAACCATATTGCTGGCATGCTTCACCGCAAACGGATCCACCTGCGCCGCCAGACGGGCATACTCCGCACTTCGGATCGCTAGCTGCTCCTTCAAGGTGACAATCTCAAGCTCTTGCGCTTCCAGAGCGTCCTTCATGTTCTGAATCACCGTCGGATCTACCGGCGCCGGTGGTGCTGCACCACTCTCACTCTGTAACCGGTCGATTTCCTCTTTCAGACTCTTCTCGATCACCGAGAACTCCGTTTCCCTCAAATCTACGTGCTGCTTCCAGCTCTCCGCAACCTGGGCACCTCGTTCCTCAACGACGTGCGCCCAATGGGCATCCCTTTGCTCCAACGTAATGCGGTAGTTCGCCTCCAAATCGGCACGCTCTTTGATCATCTTCTGAATCTGCCTCTGCAGATCATCTTCACCCTTCGTCCCTGTCTTCGGTGTAGACTGTTCCGAACTGGTTGAATTCTCCGCGGTACTAGCCTGCTTCATCATCTCCAGCGATGCCTTGAGGGCTTCGATTTCGATGTTCTTGGCATCCAGCTCCAGAACCGTGCTCTTCATGCGATCTTCAAACTCTAGACTACGTAGGACTTGATCGTTCAGAACTTGCAACTCCTGCTCCATTTGGCATTTCTCGTTCCGGAGGTCTTGATTGAGCCGTTCTAGCTCACCAATACGAGGGTTTTGCTGCTTCTCATCCGGCCTGCTCGACGCAAGATCCTTGGTTATCTGCACGGTGAGGTTATGTTCCATCTCTTGCCGATCGGTTTGCAGTTGTTGAACGCGACCCTTCAGCGCGGTGATTTCCTGATTCTTTACGAGGATCTCCTGCACCAGTGATTGAGTTTGATCTTCCCTCGCTTGCTGTTCGATCCGTTCGCTCAAATGAACGATCTCCGCCTCCTTGTATTGCAGCTGAGCGCTTAGCTGCTGTAGTTGTTCCTGCAGTATCGTCTCCTGCTCGGACGATTGGAAAAGGCTTTCCGTGCGCATCTTCTCGATCTGTTGCGTCAGTTCGGTGTTCTTACTCATCAGTTGCTGCAGGCGCACACTCAAATCATCGGTTTCCTTTGACTTTTGTTGATTCAGACTCTCCAGACTGGACTTGATCGTCCGGGAATCTTGCGAGAGGTCATCGATTTTCTCGATCAGTTCTTGAATTTCGCGATCCTTCTGCTGCACTCGTTTCTCCAAGATCTCCACGTTGGACTTCTCTTCATCCAGCAATGCTTGAAGTTCCTCATTGTCTACTGTCAGGTCCTGAACATCCCTTTGCAATTCCTGAACACGAACCTTCAGCTGTCCGACTTCTTCACCACCTTGCCCTTGAATCTGTTCCACCGGCTTGCTCTCCTTCGGTTCACTCTCATCGCCCCAATCTTCCAGGCGTTGTAATTTTACGTTCAACTCTTTGATCTTCGCCAGCTGAATCTCCATCTGCACATCCTGCCGTTCCTTCATCTCGATGAACCGTTCGTTGGCGGCCACCAGAACGTCGATTCGCTTCAGAAGCGAATCCTTCTCGACGGCTTCCTTCTCCCGCTCGGCTTGCACTTCGTTCAATCTTCCCTCCAGTGACTTGATCTGAGAGTTTAACTCTTCCTGGATCGCTAGATCCAACTCGCTGGTTTCCATCGAAGCCGAACGTCTTTGCAAGTTGTCGCTTTTCGCTTTGTACTCCTTGACTTTCTTCAGTAACTTTCCTGATTTGACCTTCAAATCAACGATCTCCTGAAGCAGTCGCTCCTTCTCCATTTCCAGCTGCCGGATGTAGTCGTCTTTTTCGCTGAGACGACGTTCCAGTGCAACGCTAGAGGTTTGCTGATGTTTCTCTTCCAATATGGCTTCATCCGCTCCCCAGCAGTCGTCCTCCAGCTGGATATTGGCAGATGAGGATTCCGCTGCATGGACCTTGTTCGGTGTGATGATCTCTTCGAAGACGGCACTCGCTGGACCTTGCTGCCCTTGTAGACCACCGAACTGATGCTCTCGACTAGCCAGTTGCTCCTCCAGATCGACAACTCGAGTTTCCTGCTCGGTCAGGGTGCGACAAACCCTCTTGATCCGATCATCTTTCTCTTCCATCTCCTGCAGAAGCGAATTGTTCTGAGCTTTCAGAATGTCCAGCTCGTCCTGAAGTTGCAGGTAGGCGTCTCGGTCCTGTGCCAGGGACTGATTCTGTTGCTTCAACTGATTCAATTCGTCCTTCAGCTTCTTCTGCTCTTCTTGATGCTGGCTGCTAAGTTGGGCCTGTTGATTGTGCAAGGCTTCCACGTCAATCTGCTGCTGATGCAGCTGCATTTCCAATGCAGCGCATCGTTGCTGAAGTTGATTCAGTTCCTGCTGCGCTTGTAAATGTTGCTCGGTCTGTTCACGGATTTGCTTAAGCTGAAGCTCGTTCTGTTCGCGGAGATTCTCCAACTCGCGATCGACGAAACTAACTGCATGCTGCGAAGGTGCCATAGCAGTCGCCATTGCCGGTTCCTCTACAGACCAATCTTCACGCTCCTCCGATGCACTTGGTGTACACAAATAAGTCTTTTTCGGTACGATCAGGTCTTCAAAAACGGGACCCTGCGCGGCCGAATCGGTGAAAAATGACGCCACGGAAGGAGCAGCGATCGCAGATTCCTTGCTCTGCAGCTGTTCTTCCAGTTGATTGACTTTCATCTGTTCCTCAAACAGCATCTGCCCAACTTCCTTCAACTTGGACGTCTTCTCGTCCACTTCGTAGCTCAGCGAAGCATTTTGCGCCCGTACAATGTCAATTTCGTCCTTGAGCTGAAGGCATTCGTCAGCCATAGCGGCCACCTTGCCTTCCATTTCCTTCTGATGCGAGGCTAGCGTGACGTTCAGATCAGCTTCCAATTTCGCGTACCGTTGCTGAAGTTGACTCAGTTCCTGCTGCAATTGCACCACAGTTGCCTGCGCTTGGGAATGTTGCTCGGTCTGCTCACGGATTTGCTTAAGCTGGAGCTCGTTCTGTTCGCGGATATTCTCCAGCTCGCGATCGTCCAATCTTCCAACGGCATGCTGCGAAGGTGCCATGGCAGTCGCCATTGCCGGTTTCTCCACTGGCCAATCTTCGCGCTCTTCCGAAGCGCTTGGCGTACACAAATAGGTCTTCTTCGGTATGACCAAGTCTTCAAAAACTGGTTCCTGGGCAGCCGAATCGGTGAAAAATGACGCCACGGAAGGTGCAGTGGCTACAGACTCCTTGCTCTGCAGCTGTTCTTCCAGTTGATTGACTTTCATCTGTTCCTCAAACAGCATCTGCCCAACTTCCTTCAACTTGGATGTCTTCTCGTCCACTTCGTAGCTCAGCGAAGCATTTTGCGCCCGTACAATGTCAATTTCGTCCTTGAGCTGAAGGCATTCGTCAGCCATATCGGCCAACTTGCCTTCCATTTCCTTCTGATGCGTGACGTTCAGATGAGCTTCCAATTTCGTGTACCGTTCCTGGAGTTGACTCAATTCTTGCTGCAGTTGCACCACAGTTACCTGCGCTTGGGAATGTTGCTCGGTCTGTTCGCGGATTTGCTTAAACTGGAGCTCGTTCTGTTCGCGGAGATTCTCCAACTCGCGATCAACGAAACCAACTGCATGCTGCGAAGTTGCCGTAGCAATCGCCATTGCCGGTTCCTCTACAGACCAGTCTTCACGCTCCTCCGATGCACTTGGTGTACACAGATAGGCCTTCTTCGGTACGATCAAGTCTTCAAAAACGGGACCCTGCGCGGCCGAATCGGCGAAAAATGACGCCACGGAAGGAGCAGCGACCGCAGATTCCTTGTTCTGCAGCTGTTCCTCTAGTTGTTCGGCCTTCAATTGCTCCTCAAGCAGTGACTGCACAACGTTCTCCAACTTGGTCGCTTTCTCGTCCACTTGTTGACTCAACGTGGCGTTCTGCGCTCGCAGAATATCAATTTCGTCCTTCAGTTGATGGAATTCGTCATCCCGATCAACCGTCGACGCCAACTTGCCTTGTAATTCTTGGATTTCCTTGGAAGCAGCTTCATTTCGCGACTTAAATTGCTCGATTTGATCGCGAAGAGCTTGAAGGTTGTCCGTCGGTGGGACTGCTGCAACTTGCTGATTCTGAACTTGTTGCACGGCTACAGGTTCATCCCAACCCCAACCATCGCCAGCGGCATCAAACAGAGTTACCGTGCTGGAATCACCGGGAGCGCCGAAAAATTGCGACGTACTAAAGGTTGGAGCTGCAACATTTGGTTGAACTTTTTGGAACAACTGTTCGCTCAGCTCCTTTAGTTCAGAGCTCTTTTGCACGAGTTGAGCTTCGAACGCTTCGCTACTGTCCAATGCTCGGTCCATTGACTTTTGGAACAACTGCATCTGCTTTCTCAATTCTACATTGTTATCATCGACCAGATCTTTCTCGATCTGCAACTCTTGTATTCTTGAATCCTTCAACGTTGCGTCATTCTCCAATTCCCGGATTTTCTCCTCCAACGCCACCGTCGCTGAATGCCCTGGACTAGCCTGTAAATTCGAAAACGGATCATCCACAGGCCCACTGGCAGCCATCTGTAGTTGTAAGTTTCTCTGCTGCAGTTGAACCGCTTCAGCTTCCTTCTGCTCAAGCCGTTCCTTCAGCTTGATCATCTCGTTCTGCACAGACACCTGATCGTCGGTCTGGTTCTGGCTCAGTTGCGTCCTGATGGCTTCCATATCGGCAATCTGCTGCTTTAGAGCATTGATTTCAAACTGGTGATTCTGAACCAGAGTGTCGTACTGGGTCCTCAGGTGCTCCAGCTCCGTCTGCAGTTCGCTATTGTCCTGGTTGAGACTCTCGTTCTGCATCTTTAACCACGTAATTTCCTTCTCCAAATCTGAACGCAACTGCTCCAGCGAGTTCACGTTCTCCTGCAAGCGAACCACCTCGTCCTGAAGTTCCGTATTGCCGTCTTGGGTACGTTCCAAATTCTCCTGTAGCTGCTTTCGTTCGTTTTCAATCTTCGCTAGCTGATTGGTAAGCTCCAGCTCCAGCTGATCAATCTCCGAATCCTTCTCCGAAACCTTCGCTTCGGAATCTGCCAGCACTCGTTTCACTTCCGTCTGAAGTGCACCGATCTCTTGAGCGAAGTTGTAATTTTCATTCTCCAGCTCGGAAGCACGTTTAGAACTTTCCTCAAACGCAGTCATCTGCGCTTCCAGTTGATTCACCTTTGAATGAAGCTGATCTCTCTGGTATTCTACGTCCCGAAGTTTGCCTCCGAGCTCCAGAAGTTCTTCCTCCCTCTCCTTCAGCTTGTTCTCGATGGCCTCATCGTGCTGGGACAAATTTGCCAACCGCTGCATAAGTTCGTCTTCATGCTGCGTCAGCTCTTGCTGTTTCTCCTCCAGTTTCGCTCCCAATAGCTTCTTCTGCCGTTCCAGAGAATTCCTTCGCTCTTCCACCCGCGATATTCCCTGTTCCAGCTTTACAATTTTACTCTTCAGCTTCCTGTTCTCGTCCTCACTTATTTCCAAGTCCACCTCCAACTTGCGCATCTTCTCTGCACTTTGGCACGATTCTTCCGCCAACGCCTTGCATCGCTCTGACTGCGCTTTCAGTTCCTCGTTTAGCTCTTCCTTATCCGTCTTCAGCCTGCCGAGCGTCATCGTTTGTTTGTGGAAGTCTTCCAGCTTACTCTGCGCTATCTTGATCTCATCTTGTAGGTAGGATGTCTTCCTCTCGTGTTCCTGCAATCGTTGGATCTCCTTGTTTTTTTCCTTGATAATTGCCTTGCACTTTTCGATCTTTATCGCCTTTGAAGCATCTTCTGCCTGAACCGTTTCCAGGGTCTTCGACTGTTCCGCTAGCTGATTTTCGACTTCCTGCAGCTTCGCTTCCAATTCCTTCGCTTGCTGCTCTTTCGTTTGAATGTTTTCTTTCAGAGCCAAAGCTGCATGCTGGGCCGCTTGTTTGTCCGCTTCCAGGTTATACTTGTGCTGAAGCAGCTTGTGTAATTCGTTGTTCAGGTGATGCATTTTTTGCGACAACTGTTCATTCTCTTCCTTGAGATCGTCCGCAGAAGGTCCTGCGGAAGCTGCGTTCTTCAACTCATCGAGTTCCCGCTGAGTCGTTGCCAGTTTCTGCTCCAGATCCTGGCAGTGGGTATTTTTTTTCTTCAGATTAGCTGCAAACTTCTTCAGTTTTTCCAGTTGCTCCTTATTCTTGGCATCCAGTTCATGGTTCTTGTGTTCAAGCTCTTTCAGCTTTGACTCATCCACAACTGGCACGGGAGCGGACAGCGCTTGATTCAGTTGCGCTCGCAAGTCTTCCGCCGTCTTGTTGCCCACCGTCAGCTTCTCGTAGAGCATCTGAATTTCGTCCTTCTTGGAATCGAGCAGCTCCTGAAGATACTGCACCTCGTCTTCTTTCTCGATGATTTTGTTTGCATTCTCTTCCATCGATTTGTACAACTCAATGATCTGGTTGTTCAACGTATCTATAGTTTCCTGTTTGTGTTCGATCTCATCGTTCTGGTTTTGGGTTAGCTCCTTCAAGTCTTCCAGTTGCCGCTTCATATCTTCCGAATACTTCTCGCCCATCTCTACCACTTGTCTGCTCATTTCCTCCAGCTGATCCTTCATCTTCTGCGCTTGATTCTCATAGTTCTGAATATCTTTAAGCTTCGCCGCAATTTCATTCTCATGCTTCTGGTGCGTTTCGAACAGCTGCGCGGCAACCTGTTCCTTCAAGATGTCTATCTCCTTATTCGCCTTGACCAACTTTGTATGTACTTCTTCCAACTCGCCAGCCTTCTTCAAACCCAACACTTCCAGTTCCTTCTTCAACTCGCTTATCTCGTCGTTCCTGCAGTTCAGTTCAACCTTCAACAGCTCCGGTTCTTCATCGGACGATCTCTCCGCCTCTCTAGCAGCAACCGCTTCCATCTCCCGTTTAAGTTCTTCAATCTCCTCATTCTTTCTGTCCAACTCATCCCTCAACTGATCAATCTGCTCGACCTTTTCAATCTGTGCATGAGTTATTTCCATGATCTGTGCCTTCAGTGCATTCACTTCCTCGCATCGATCCACCTCGGGCAGTCGCTGCACCTTCTCCTTCAGCTGTTCGATCTCCGTCTTCATCACTTCGCACTCCGTCACGTTTCTGTAGTACTCCTCCAGCAAACTGTTCGCCATCTTTTGCAGATTCTTCGCGTCCGTAGAAAGCTTCTTCGAAATTTGGAGCTTTTTATTCTTATCCTTGTTCCTGTTGTAGTTTGTCACTTCGTTATCCACCGAACGTAACGCCTGCTCGAACGAACTCTTATCGATGGCCGACGCCACCGTCTTCGACGGTGTACTTTGACTCGAACTCGGTGTACTCGTTTCACTTTCCAGCTTCACCTTCAACGTCTTCGCTGCTTCCAGTTCCTCAACCAATCCGGCCTTATCCTTTTCCACCCGCGCCAAGTTCTCCTTCAACGCCTTCTCGGTCACTTCCATAGCGGAATGCTTCTCCAACAGATCCTGATGTTCGTCTCGTAACCGGTCTAGCTCTTCCATGTGGCCCTGATTCTCGACCGTCAGGGCTTCCAGCTTCTCCAGCACCTCGCGGCGCTCGTTGGTGAACAGTTCGATCTTGTGCATCAGTTCGCTGCTTTCTTCGCGCAGCTTCACCAAGCTGGAATTCAGATCTTCGCCTTCGCTGTCGCCGGTTGGTTCTTCGCGTCGCTGCTTTGCCATGCGGTCATTGTCGTCTTCTTGGTCGTCGTCCTCGTCGGTCTTGGGACGATCTCTGTGAATGTGGGAAGAAAATGATTGTATTATTTGAATTCGAGATGGATGTTATTTGAAGGAAAGCTAGTAATGATGAAAATCCCGAAATTAGATGCGCATCAGGACACTTTCGAGAAAAGCGTGGTTTTGATTTTTTGCGATATTTTGGAGTCTTAGTGAAGAATATAGCTCAAACGTCCCAGAACGTAGAAGTCGTCACACAGAGAAGGTGCAGTATTGAGATTGTTTTGCCATTTTTGAAACTCTATACCTACATGTCGTTAAAAATGCACTGTTAAGGATGGGGGCTCGCAGTGTTAAAATTTTAAATGTTTTGAAAATTTGCTTATTCTATGGAATATTTGGAATTTTGTTTTTAACGTGTATGAATATTTTTTAGAAGCCCAGACTGTAACCTGAAAGGTATATAGAAGCAAAATTAGTTTTTCGTTGTTCTGTTCTTGAAATTTCAATTATAGTGAAATAAGAGGTTCCGGGTCATTTTGGCTAAATTCCGTCGGGCCGAACGCCTTGTGGTTGGAAATTGATAAACAGACATTATTATTCGGCATCGTTGTTGGATACCTTGATGGTTTGAACGAAAACCTCTTCAATATTTGAAGAAGAAAAATTCATGAAACCAATCATTTGAATAGAGGCTTTTTTAAAATACTGAAGAATTCCATAAGAACAACTTATAGTTTTTCGCAACAAGACCTCCCCCCCCCCCTTGTCCTTGGCTTACTTCTTTGTCGCGTCTAACTTCAAGGACCGCTATCGAAATTACCCGTCCCTTGGGCCAACAGCTTCCACGATGCCGTTCACCTCAATCGGCTTGACTTCGTTGAACCATAGAGGTAACTCTAAGACTAGAAGGTCCCGAAGAAACGTGCTCAACTTTTTGGCTCAGCTGTGGTACTATCTTCGGTCCCAAGCTAATCGATTCACCCCTTGAAACATAGGAAAATCCAATAACCCCTCATTTTATCTGTCAAACTTTCATAGCGAATCAAAACAAACATTGTGTAGTACTAGAATTTCGACTAGAATGGGATACGTTCATCGTTTTCCTGGGATCAATAGGCTAGTCAAGTAGTGAGCCAATTTGAAATCGTTAGTTTCGTATTGATTGTTGGTTGAACCACGTTGTCCGCTTTATTGAGGATACAATCCCTGCACCTAGTGTCCCTATTCTTGTAACCTTTAGTGTTCCAGTATCGAAGCACCCCCCCCCCCCCCCCGACTTTGCATGCGCCGTATTTTTACCATCGGGTTGTGTTTGAGGATTTTGTGACGACATCCCTACCTCCCGAGCAATCAGCGTACCTACAATACCAACTAACACTTGTATTCGAACAGTCGAAACATAAACACGTTAAGACAAGTTTGTCTGCACATTTTATTTGTTGCAACCGATAGAAAATTCCGCCGTTCCGAAAAACGTGTTCTCGGGTTTCAATTTTTAGTCCAGGTTCGTCTCGACCTTTCGTTTCGGTTCGTGCATAGTTTTTTGGTCCTTCGAACCGGAGAATGGATCCGCCGGATATGCAAAAGTTTCTGTCGAAGCGAGAGGTTATGTTCGCGAAAATAAAGTGGGAGCTGTCCGTCGCGCAATCGCTTCACACCCGGAACCCATCGTACGGGGAAGTGCATAAACGTCGGGAGAAGCTCACCGAACTTGCAGCAAATTTCGAAGCCGTTCAAACGACGATTGAGGAGAACATTGCGAATCTGGAGGATGTCGCATCGGTGTGCAACCACCGGCTCCGATTTGATGAGGTATATTTTCAAGTAAAAGACCTGTATACGGGTTACCTGGGGGAAAATGAAGACCAGATGTCACAGCAAAGTGAAAGGAATGAGTCGCCTAGTGATCTGCGGGATGCAATCAAGGCACTTTTGGAAACGCAGCAGGCAATGCTGAATCGACAAAACCAACCACCGCAGCAGCCGGCAGCGGGCGGTCAGGTGTGGAATCAGGAACCCCAAGTGAATGTTAAACTACCGCAACTAAACATTCCCATTTTCGGAGGAGAGCGAACGGCGTGGAATTCGTTTAAGGATTTGTTTGTCAGCACGATCCACAACAGGCAGGATCTGAAAGCTTCCGTCAAGATGCAGTATTTGTTTTCCTATTTGGACGGCGAAGCAAAGCGGATGGTGAATTCCTTCCCAATCAGCGACGCAAACTACAACGAAGCATGGGAATCACTCGTGACGCACTACGATAAGAAAAAATACACGGTGTTTACCCTCGTTCGTGAGTTCGTTGATCAGCCATCAGCCACCAACGCAAGCGGATTGAAGAAACTGGTGGCTACTTCTGATGATACCATACGACAGCTAAAAGCTCTTAGCAACGAGTACGAAACACGGGATCCTTGGCTCATCCATCTGCTGCACCAGCATGAAAGGCTTGAAACTTCTTCTCGGCTCCAGTTGCCTTCGAAATCTCCTTCTTCGCAGGTTCTCCCAGCTTCCTATAAAACGCCGAACAAGTTTCCAGAGCATCGCAGCGTTTTTGCAGGAACTCGATGAAATCTGCGAACTTCGGATTTTCTTCGTCAATGATTTTCTGCGCCCACAGTGAGCGCGTCTCTCGGTCCACCTTCTCAAGCAGCACATGTGTCGTGTGCGAAGTGCAGCATGGATCACCCAACTTACCACTGCGAACAATTCAAGGCCATGGATGTGGCGCCGCGTAGGGAATTGGCACTTAAGTCGAAACTGTGCTTCAATTGCCTGCGTCCATCCCACACAGCGAAGCGGTGTCAGTCGAAGTCGGTATGTCGCACTTCACAGTGCAACCAACGGCACCATACAATGCTATGCCAGCGGGAAGTCATGAAACCGGATGAAAAGCAGGAAGATGGTCAAGGAAGTTCGCAACCGGAACCGGAATTGGAGGTCGCATCGATCTCTACCAACGTAGCGCAGACGGTGGCCAAAAACCACGGACCGTTTGCATTCGCACTGCTACCAACGGTGGGGGCAAAACTTCGAGGAGGTGATGGGAAGCTACACGACGTAAGAATGCTAATTGATTGTGGTTCCCAGGCATCTCTCATCACGACAGCGTGTGCCAACCGCCTTGGGTTGAGGCGGAGATCACTGGTGTCAGCGGTGAAGTCGTCGGTACCACTGCCGGCATTGTCACGCTGGTGATTTCATCGCGTTTCAACGAGGAAACTAAACTTACCACTCAAGCTTTTGTTCTTAAAAGGCTCACGGCAACCCTGCCGTGCCAGCGTTTCGACGTGGCAAGCATGCCATACTTGAAGGGTCTGCAACTGGCGGATCCCCACTTCAATCAACCAAGCTCGGTTGAGGTCATACTGGGATCGGATGTCTTCCTGTCCGTACTGCAAGCCGGCCAGGTCAAGGATCCAAACGGTATTCCTGTAGCACAACGTTCTATCTTCGGGTGGATGGTTGCAGGAAGAATCTCGAAGCAATGGTGTATGCACACACATCACTCGGCAATCAATCTTCACCAAGATTTCGACATCGATCGCACCCTGCGATTGTTCTGGGAAGATCCGGAGCTTCGTCAAGCTAAGCAATGGACAGAAGAGGAGCAAAGGGTCGTTGATCATTTTAAGTCGACGCACACTCGCTCGAAAGATGGACGCTTTATCGTTCGATTGCCAATGAACGATTCAAAGCAGCAACTTGGAGATTCGCTGACCGCAGCAGTCCGTAGGCTACGCGCAATGGAACGGAAGTTCGAGACCGACAGCAGCTTCAAGGAGAGATACGTTGCATTCATGCAAGAGTATCAGGATTTGGGCCATATGGAGCTGATTCCGGAAACAGAGATTCTGGTTAATTGCACGAAGTCATATTATTTGCCGCATCATGGGGTCGTAAAGGAGTTGTGTTCGATGCATCATGTGCCACGACTTCTGGAGTCTCACTGAATGATTTGTTACTGGACGCCCCGAACATTAACACTGAGATATTCGATATCATGATGGAGTTCAGGTTCTTCGAGGTGGTATTTACGGCGGACGCAGTAAAAATGTACCGTCAAGTACTTACGCACCCTGACGATCGAGACTACCTACGTGTGGTATGGAGAAGCTCGCCGGACAAGCCGATACAACACTTCCGGCTTCGCACGGTGACATATGGACTCAAGAACTCTGGATTTCTGGCCATGGCGGCGCTCAAGGCGGCAGCGGAAGAATACAAAGGGAAGTATCCTGAAGCAGCTGAACGGATCATGAAGAATACATACGTCGACGATCTTACATCGGGAGCAAAATCGGAAGAAGAAGCCATTCGTTTGATCAAGGAGATCAACGAGATCATAGAGAGTGCTGGATTTACATTACGGAAATGGAGTTCCAATTCGGCGGCGGTTCTGAAGTCGCTACCTGAAGTCAGCATTACCGCAGTACAGATACAGTTTCCGGATGAACGGAATTCGCTGAAAGCCCTGGGAATTCATTGGATTCCGGACATAGACGTCTTCACACTCAAGGTAAATCTGCAGATTGATGGTCCCAATACGAAGCACCAACTATTGTCGGATTCCGCCAGGCTGTTCGATCCATTCGGGTGGTTTGCGCCGGTCATCGTTCGAGCTAAAATTCTATTTCAACATTGCTGGTTGTACGACCTAAACTGGCACGATCCATTACCTCCTGTCGTTGAAGAAATGTGGGTCGATTTGAAGGCAAACCTACACCACCTGGAGAAGATCAGGATTCCAAGATGGGCAGCGAATTACGATAACCACATCGAATTACATGGCTTTTCTGACGCTTCTGAGGTCACGTTGGTCTACTTGCAGCGAAAACCAAGGTCGCTCCTGTACGTCAGGTGTCTCTACCACGTCTCGAGCTCAACGCAGCTGAATTACTTGCAAAGCTGCTGAAACAAGTTGCTGAACCTCTCAAACGCTTCCAGGTAGACCGGTTTGCCTGGACGGATTCGACCATAGTCCTGCAATGGCTGTCAGGACATCCGCGTAAATGGAACACTTACGTGGCTAATAGAACATCTTCGATACTT